GTCTGCCTGCTGGTGAAGGCCTAACCACTCAAAGGGCAGCTTCAGGTGACCATTGAAATGAATATATCACTGTGGCTTTGCCTGACCAGAGTCGCGGGTGGAGGCAGGTACTAGCATCTCAGTGACCAAGGGCCTGCATAGCGCCATGACTTAGTCGCACACTGGTGCGTGGTGTATGCGTGTGGGTGCAGGTGTGTGTGTGTGTGTGTGTGTGTGTGTGTACCAGCATGTGGGGGTCCAGAATGGTTCCCGGTCTCTCTTCCCCCTGATTCACTGAGGCAGAGAGTCCTGAATTGTATAAAAGGGAAGAAACTGATGTGGGCATAAGCAAGTGAGCATGCTTGCATGCATTTCTCTCTGTTATGGTTGTGATGTGATCAGCTATTTGGAGTTCCTGTCTTGACTTCCCCACAAATGACGGACTGAAACCTGGAATTGCACCCCTCGGGAAACCCCTTTGTCATCTTAGTTGCTTTTTGTCAGGTATCTTTTCACAATAACAGATATGAAACCAGAACACACACACTCAGCCGTCAATGGGGCCACTGCCCGTGGTTTAGGGAAGTTATGCAGGCCACCGAGGAAGCCGTCACCCACAGGATGCCTCCTGTGACAGCGGACAGGGTAAGCAAAGACCCGTGTGTCCCAGGAGGAAGCCCATGGGGGCTAAGTGATTAGCGGAGTGATGTGAGCTAAGTGATTAGCGGCCACTGCAAATCAGCACCATCACTTTCCAAATGGCAAGGGGCAGATGCGATGGCTCTCAGCACTAAAAAACAGCAAATGTTCCCCTTCTGTGCTTTTTTTTTTTTTTAAGAGTGGGAGGAAAAGTAGTGACTTGCAAAGATTTGTTGCTCTTGGAAAATTGGTCTTTACCTTAAATCACCCAACTTGGTTCTCAACTCCGTTCTCCTGCAGCTCAGAGGCCTGGGGCACACTTGGCTTCTCTTCTGTGGGTAGCAAACCTCCCCTATTGATCATTAGTTCTGTGTGCCCCTTGCTCTGTTACAAGCAGAGGTGTCCAGTGCAGGGCATGGTTCCGCACTTAAGTCTGACTGTCTATCAAATGCCTCTCTCCTGCACAAACTCTTGGTTGGTGGCCTTGCTAAGTAGGAAAAAGGCCAAGCTTCGGCATTTCTCAGCTGCCAGTCACCTTGTTCCATTTGCTAAGCTCAGCATTGATGTCATCTATTGACGTGGGGGCAAGCTGTGTTTAAAATTACACAAAATCTTTGCAGCTTAAAACGCCAAGCACTCTCAGAGTTTCAAAGAGTACGTGTTTGCTATGGACATTCAATGCCTGAAAAGAAGCAAGTTCGAGGAGGAAGGGTTTGCTTGGTTCAAAGTTTAGCAGGAATGCAGTCCATGGTGTGGGAAGTGATGGTCACAATCCTTCTGCAGCCAGGGAGCAGAGAGCCGACAGGAAGTGGGACTTCAAGGCTTGTCTCCCACTGACTCTTTTCTTCCAGTAGGGTTAGATCTCTTAAAGGGTCACCACCTCTCAACAAACTGGCCAAGCCAGGTACTCTGATCTGGAACTCAGGGTCATGTACTATGGACAAATCCCAGGATGTAATGCTTTTTAGCTCATGAGCTCAAGCCGCAGTGTTTTGGTGACTTACTGTTACTGTGCTAGAATCCTAGGTCCATGGGCGACTTACGGAAGAAAGAGTTTACCGAGACTTATGGTTCCAGAGGGAGAGTTCATAATGGCAGGGGCAGCATGGCAGCTGGTGGCCAAAGCAAGAATCTCACGATCATATTTCTTCACACAGGAAGCTGGGAGGGTGAACTGGAACAGGGCAAGGCTGCAAACTCTCAATGCTTGCCCTCAGTGGCATACTTCCTCCAGCAAGGCTGCGGATCCCAGTGCTTAGGAAGTACACAACCTCCCACACAGCACCACCAGCTGGGAAACAAATGCTCAGATACGCGTGCCTCTGGGGCACATTGCCGTTCACCATCAGTCATCAGTCAATAAGTGCGTACTCAAAGTCGTTTATGTCAGGGGCCAAAGAGGGGCGTAGTGGATGGAGATATTTATCTATGCAAAGCTCTGTTTACTTTCCAATATAGATCTGATTAAGGAAGCAAGTGTAAAAGTACTGTGGCAATGCATGTATGTGCCTGTGTGTGTGTGTGTGTGTGAGAGAGAGAGAGAGAGAGAGAGAGAGAGAGAGAGAGAGAGAGAGAAAGAGAAACAGAGACATACACACAGAGAGAATAGGAGTTGAGCCCAAAAGCCCAGAAAAGCACCTACAATAACTGCAACTGTGCAGGGAAAGGAAGTCTCTGATTCCGAACTTGTTGAGGGCTGGTGTTTGTATGGGCTCTGTCTGAATGAAGCCCTCAACCTTTCTGTACTGCACATCTGAACAGGGCTCCTGAACCCACTCACCCGTGAGAATACTTCTTGAGTAAATACACTACCTTTTGTTTCTAGTGCTTTCTGTCATCCTGTGTGTGTGTGTCGTATATGCTTGTGTTTGTATAGCTGTATGCATGTGTGTGCATACGTGTGCCTGTGTGTATCAAGGCCAAAGATAACATTAAGTATCTTCTCCTATTCTCTCCGCTTTATTTTATATTTTTTAAGGGTTTGTTTATCTTTATCTTATATGTATGAGTGTTTTGCCTGCATGTGTGTCTTTTCCTCACATGTATGCTGGAGTCTGTGGAGGCCAGAAGAGGGCATCAGATTCTCTGGAAGTGGAGTCACAGACAGTTGTGAGCTGCCATGCAGGTGCTGGGAACTGAAACTGGGTCCTCTGCAAGAGCCTAGTAAGTTTTCTTAGCCCCTGAGCCGTCTCTCCAGCCCCTTTACTTGTTTTTGTTTTCTGTGTTTGTTGTTGCTATTGTTGTTTTAGGACAGGCTCTCACTATGCAGTTCGTTGGCCTAGAACTTGCTGTAAGACCAGTCTGGCCTGGATCATCTGCCTCCCAAGCAGGGAGTAAATGTGCGCCCTATGCCAAGCTCCACCTAAATTTTTTGGGACAGAGATTTTTGGTGAACCTGGAGCTCATCACCCAGGAGCTTCCTGCTGGTCCCCTGTCTCCACCTCTCTAGACATGGGTACAGCTATGTGCTGGCATCGCAGGGCTTTTACATGGGGGTCAGGGATTAAAACTCAGGCCCTGTTGATTGGGTTACAAGCATTTTGTCCCAGAGACATCTTCTCAGACTCCTATTAGCAGACCCTTGGTACCCACAGGGCAGAATGGAGACAAATTTTGTCTCAGAAGTTATCCGGTGCTGCGGAGACGTTAGGTCTTTAGGAGTTATTGGCCCCTAACCCTCAGTGGCAGTAGTAGAGGGGCCCTGAATTTCCTCCCTCCCAGCCTGTCCTGTGGCTTCTGGCTTCTGTCCTGGTGAGGCCCCTTTGCCTAGGTTGACTTCGGAGGTGGTTCTGTAAACCCAGCCCGAGAGTGGCTCTGACGAGGATGGAAGCAAAGCTGGTTTGCAGAGCCGCAGCTGCTCATTCGGCTCTGGGACGCCCGCACCACACATGCCTAGCGTGACAAGCCCTTCCTCCCAGCCACCCAGCAAGCAGCCACTTATTCCCAATTGCTCCCCACAGCATGGGCCAATTAGAGAGGAAGCCAGCAGGACTGGGGTCACTGGCACATCTTTTGAGGACAGGAGCCCCCTGGGCTGCCTAGTCAAAGGCATTCTCCCTTCATTCACATGCTGTGCAGGAATGCACACTGTGGGCTGCCCCAGAAACCAGCGCCCCACATGGCAGAGCCACAGAGTAAATGTTCCTGGTCCTGAAAACTTCCAAAGTGAGACTGAGAGTTCTGGGCCACCTCTGCTCAGCCACATCAGGAATGGCCTCTCACTGTTGACTTCCCCTTGGGGAGAAGATTTTCACAAAAGCTAGTGCTTTTGTTTCAAGGTACGAGGAGTTCTCAGTTTTCCCCTTCTAAATAACGGCTGCGTTTGTCTTTAAACATTAATTTCCAAGTTCATTTTGTTGGATATCACACTTCCCCGGTTGCCTTATTTTCCGTATTCCCTGTGAATCCTGTCACCACAGCCTGGCCTGCTCACTGTTCAACCCACTCAGAGGCAGCCGTTCTGCACCCCACCCCCACCCCCAATAAATCTCTGGTGTGAGGTTTATCAGGTGGTGTGATTTTTGTGGTATTCCTTGCAAAACCCTTTCAGTTTTCTCTTGTTATTTCATCACCTTTAGTTTCCTTCCCTGTACGTTCTCAGGACACTGTTTTGGTCTTACCCGTGTTTACCAGACCTTCCTATCCAGCTGAGCTGTTTAGAACAAGCAAACAGTTAGGTCTGGGCCACTTTCCAGGCCATTTAAGTCAGAATCTCCCGGGACTGGGCCCTGGCCTGGGAAGAGAAACTTCCCTGATGATTCTAATGTGCTGGGAGGAGAGAGCTGGACATCCGCCCTCTTAGGTTAGCTCATGCACGTGGATCTCACGGAAGCCTCGACCCCAGAGATGAGCTCTGGGTGTCAGCTATTTTCCGCTTATACAGATGGTCTGTGCTCATTGGCTAAGGCTCAGATTATATAGAGCCAGAGAAATCGGTAACCATACAGAATAGAAGTTTAACTCTTTGGCATATATTTTAATGTACATTTTTATTTTGTATGTACATATATAAAGAATATCTTTCTTTTTAAAAATTTTAATTTTTATTCTATGTGTATGAGTGTTTGCCTACATATATGTATGTACACCACATGGGTTCAAGAGCCTGAGGAGACCAAAAGAGGACAATGAATCCCCAGGAACCGGAGCTACAGGTGGTTGTAAACCATCATGTAGGTTCTGGGAGCTGAACCCAGGTCCTCTGGGAGAACAGCAAGTGCTCTTACCTGTTGAGCCTTTTTGTTTATTTAAATTTTTAAAATACACGTACTGATCGTGTGAGGGGGTGAGGGAGAGAATGTATGTGGGTGTGTATGTGCTATGATGAACATGTGGTCCAAGGGATAAATGGTGGAAGTCAATTCTCTCCTTTTGCCGTGTAGGACCCAGGAATCAGTGTCAAGTCATCAGACTTGGAGGAAAATCCCTTCATTTGCTGAGCCATCTCACTGATCTGAAGGCATCAGACTCCTTACAACTTAGCATTTCTTCTAATACCATGGATCCTTTTCCATGTAAGTACACACCGAATGCCGTCATCTTTTAAAAAAAATTTTTATTTATTGAGCTCTACATTTTTCTCTGCTCCCCTCCCTTCCTCTCCTCTCCCCCTTTAACCCTCCCCCCAAGGTCCCCATGCTCCCAATTTACTCAGGAGATCTTGTCTTTTTCTACTTTCCATGTAGATTAGATCTATGTATGTCTCTCTTAGGGCTCTCATTGTTGTCTAGGTTTTCTGGGATTGTGATTTGTGGGCTGGCTTTCTTTGCTTTATGTTTAAAAACCACTTATGAGTGAGTACATATGGTGTGGGAAGTTCTTCTGTCTATGTGTTGCTTGTATTGGTTAATAAATAAACTGCTTTGAGCCTATGACAGGGAAGAACAGAACTAGGCGGGGAAAGCTAGGCTGTATGTTGGGAGAAAGAAGGGCGGAGTTAGAGAGATGCCATGAAGCCTCCAGAGACAGATGCTGGGAACTTTAGCCAGTCAGCTACTGTCATGTGGAAATACACTGCTTAATAGAAATGGGTTAAATTATTATGTAAGAGCTGTAATGATTGTTCTATCTCTTTAAAAGACAAGCTACACCCACTCCCTCCCCCATCTGCTGAGGCAGGCTGATCTTCAGCTTCCAGCCTGAGCTCTCTCTCTTTTTCGTCTTCCTCTCGGAGAGGCAGCTTCTGCCTCTCTCCCCACTTCTCTCCTTCCCTGCTTTTGTCTCTCTCTTTTCTCTTTCTCTCTCTCCCCCTTCTCCCCTTTCCCTTCCCCTCCATCACTGTAGGGCGCCAAGGCGCCACAACCCTGCCATCATTTTCTGCCTCTCAAGCAGCTTTGGCCCTGCCCCGCCCCACTCCGAGGCTCTTGGCTCACTTTCCCGAATGGCGCCATCCAGCCGCCAATCGCCAATTGTGAGCTGACTCGTAGAATCAGGAGCGGCCATAGCCATTCAGACTCGGACACGTCTCAGGCTTTCTTCTGCACGGCTTATAAGCCATGCGCGCCAGGGGCCGGGGTCCTTCGCCATCAACCTCAAGTTGTACGCTCCCAATAAAAGTACGTTCTGAGAAGAATCCTGTTGTGGTCGTTTCTTCTGCTGGCGGACGCGGCTTGCCACACATCATCCCCTGAATAAATATTTAACCTCACTCTGCATGTTGTGCCTATCCATGTCTCTGTTTCTTGCCCACCTGCCATGTGTCTCCCTGCCTGGGACCAGCCACTGCAAGGGGACCCGCAGCCATCTCTGCCTGGGACTGGCTGCTCTCAGGGCCCACTGCCTACCACCACATGGCCCACTACCACTGCTTGGGGACCTACAGCATTTCTGTAGGTCCTACTGCCCTACTGCCGCCAGGGATCCTGCAGCACTTTTAATTTTTCCATTACAAGAGCTAGCCAATAAGAAGCTAGACCTAATGGGCCAAGCAGTGATTTAATTAATTCAGTATCTGTGTGATTATTTGGGGGCTAATCAGTCAGGAACTAACTAGCGGCCTCCCTCCTACATACATATGATATTTGTCTTTCTGGGTCTGGGTTACTTCATTCAATATGATGTTTTCTAGCTCCATCCATTTGCCTGCAAATTTCAAGATGTTGTTATGTAAAACTCTAGGATAACTCTGAAGCCATTTCTGACAACTCTGAGGCCATTTCTGAGGCCTCTCAGCAGCAGTGCCCCCCCCTCCTCTGGGAACCAAGGACCTAACAACTTCACATGCATGTACTAGAATGTTGGGGATTTTCCATCTCCCTGTGTCCTTGTGCATATTCTCCAGATAGAACTCAGTTATTGGAATTGGGGCAAGATAACCCTTAGATGTTGACTCAGTTCCTCAGCCTTGGTCAGGGGATATTGACTCAGTTCCTCAGATACGATTAGGATGAACCCCCTCCCGACTCCCCCCTTGTTTCTGTGGCTTTTTGCTTTAAAAGTAGCCTGGACCAGCTATTTGGGGTCTTTTGGCTTCCCAAATGCTGAAAGACCCTGTCACGACAAAATTAATTAAATCCTCATGCTTTTACATCAATTGTGGTGTGAGAGTGGTCTCTTGGGGTGACTCCTCTTCAGTGATTGTACTCTAGGGTCCAACAGTTATTTTTTCTGCTGTGTAGTACTCCATTGTGTAAATGTATCATATTTTCGTTATAGATTCTTCAGCCGAGGGGCATTTAGGTTGTTTCCAGGTTCTGGCTATGACAAACAATGCTGCTATGAACATAGTTGAGCACATGTCCTTATGACATGATTGAACATCCTTTGGCTATACTCCCCAAAGTGGTATTGCTGAGTCTTGAGGTTGTTTCCTAATTTTCTGAGAAATTGCCACACTGACATCCAAAGGGGTTGTACCAGCTTGCACTCCCACCAGCAATGCAGGAGTGTTCCCCTTTCCCCACAACCTCTCCAGCATAAGTTGTCGTCAGTGTTTTTGATCTTGGCCATTCTTACAGGTGTAAGATGAAATCTCAGAGTTGTTTTGATTTGCATTTCTCTGATGACTAAGGATGTTGAACATTTCCTTAAGTGTCTTTCAGCCATTTTATATTCCTCTGTTGAGAGTTCTCTGTTTAGGTCTGTACTCCATTTTTTTTTTATTGGATTATTTGTTCTTTTGATGACCAATGTCTTGAGTTCTTTGTATATTTTGGAGATCAGCCCTCTGTCTGATGTGGGGTTGGTGAAGACCTTTTCCCATTCTGTACACTGTCATTTTGTCTTGTTGACCATGTCCTGTGTCCAAAACCAACAACAAAATGAATTATTTTGCCCCTCTGACTGCTGAAGCCGAATTTTCTACCAAATCTCCTCTTTTATGTTTACTTTTTTTCTTCAAGTTAGAAACCCCTATTTTGCCTTTAATCCAAGAATAAATATTATCCCAATCCATATACACCATTAGTTGGTTCAAGCTCCACATCGCCCTAAGTCTATCTACATCTTTCCATCACCTGATCAAATCTCTTTCACTTTTGACTCTGATACTTCTGGGGTTTTGCTTTGTTTTGTTTTACATTTCACCCAGAAGGGTTGCCCTCAGGCATAAGTCAGCTGAAGGCACTTCCACAGTGCCTGTAAACCTTGTAGACTTTCTCCATTCTACTCTCTGCATTGGTGATACACATCCCATCAAGGAGAGAGTCCTTCAATTCAGAAGTCTTGTGTTTTTGTTCCAAGGATTCCTTCTTGGGGAGATATGAGCAGTGTCTACCCATCCTCCTCATGAGATCGATCCCAAAAACAAATCAAAGTGTGATTCCACCAAAATCCACTCTGAGGAACAAATGAGTTTATTACTCACAAAGCAGTGGGGGCGGATTGCTGATAGGAGCATGGGTGAATCCAAAGCATCTGTGCCTTACCCAGTGATGGCTTCCCCGTGGCTGCATAGATGGAGCCCCCACCCTCCATCAACCTTCCTCAGCTTTTATACTGCAGTACATCTGCAGACCCAGAGCCAGAGTGCAATCAGGGAAGAATTACATGGCTGGGGGAAGTGGCTGCAAACTCAGGAGAGGGTCTAATGACCCTCTCTACCCCTCCTTTTCTGGTGAAAGGTCAACAGTCTTCAGGCTCATGTTGAAGGCCTCTTGAAAGCAGGTACAGCTGATCTGATGAAATGGTGGCTGTTTTGTTCAATCTACAACAATCCTATCATGAAACAGTGGCCTGTTAGTTGGTTAGCTTGCAGGTAGGGTAAAATCTGAGTGAGGTCCCAATAAAAGGGTACATTCTATTAAATAAGCTTGCTACTGGGTACAGCCTATTGTGTTTCACGAGTATGAACTTGACAGGTTGTTTATAGAACAAGCAGGTCTTACCATACTCCCCCTTTATACTTATTTAGGGTATATGTATATAGGCTCACACGTGTGGGCTCATTGTGTAGCTTAGATGACAACACCACAGGAGTGAGTTCTGGAGACTGGACTCAGGATATTAGGCTTAGTGGCTTGTACCTTTATCTACTGAGCCATGTCATTGGCTCCAGGGTCTTTTAATACCATAAACTGTTATCTGTGTGGTGGCGGCGGCACACTCCTTTTAGTCCCAGCGCTTGGGAGGCAGAGGCTGGCAGATCTCTGAATTCAAGTTCAGCCTGGTCTACAGAGTGAGTTTCAGGACAGTCAGGACTACATAGAGAAACCCTGTCAAAAGAAACAACTAACTAACTAGCTAGCTAGTTAACTAACTAAATAACTAACTAATTTTGTTCTTAGTCACAGTGTTTAATGAATACCTAGTGAAAAGTGGGAAACCTGGGAACATAACTGAAGTATGTATAAAAAGTTAAGTGGGAATTCCTCAAATTAGCTTCGAGATGCTCTCTCTGGATCTGAAAGTTACAGTTACTGTTAGGAATATTTCCTAACGCGTGCTCCCTGCTGATGCAAAATTCCCAATCAAGCCAAATCAAAACAAACCAAATTAAAAAATATCCAGGTTTAATGAGAGTTCTGTGCTCTTGGGTGGTCCCGAAAGGGAACCGGGAAGCCGCATGAACAAGACCGCCAGGAGGAAGAAAAGGAGACCATGTGTTCCTCTTGTGGGAGCTCATTTAAATACCCTGGGTAGTGGTCCTGACCCCCTCCCTAGTGGGGGGTGGTCAGGACCTGACCTGCTGGGATTTGGAGTCCACAGTGCTAACTCTCAGGGTCAGGGGGCTAGGATAGATGCAAGGGGCTAGGGCCTAAACTCCCAACTTAACAGTTACCTGATTATGATCTTCACAATAGTCAACGTATCATCCTGGAGCATCCAGTGCTAGAAAAATATGGTGCAAACTGTTGGGAACAATCTCAAGACAAGCTTCTCTGCCGACGCAAATAGTTCTAATTATACCAAATTAGACTGAATGAAAAATGCCCACGTTTAGCAAATGCAGTGCTCCCAGGTGGGCCAGAGCATGGTGGGTGGGGGGAACACCAGCAAAACCCGAAAACCACCTGTTCTTTTTCTCAGTGGCAGCCTAAATAGTCGGTAGGAGTGGTCCTGCCCCTCCCTGGGGAGG